GATGATGATGATGATGATGATGATGATGATGATGATGATGATGATGATGATGATGATGATGATGATAGTGATGATAGTGATGATGATGATGATGATGATGCTGATGATAATGATGATGATGATGATGATGATGATGATGATGATGATGATGATGATGATGATGATGATGATGATGATGATGATGATGACAATGACGAGGACGATGACGATGCCAATGACGATGAACATGTTGATGGCGTCGATGGTGATGATGATGATCATCATCATGATGATGATCATGATAAGTATCGTGATTCCATTCATGGTGATGATGATAATGTTGATGACGATGATGATGATGATGATGATGATGATGATGATGATGATGATGATGAGGAGGAGAAGGAGGAGGAGGAGGAGGATCGGCGCCCGCGTACGGTCCATGTTTGCCCAAATATGCACATTGCAATGTGTTTAACACAATGATAAGGTGCGCGCATGGCCCCTGGTCGGCAGCCAACCTTTCGAAAGGGGGGGTGGAAGCGGTAATCGGATTGGACGTGGACACGGTGGTGTTTTTTCCCGCCGATCGGGCGAGACGAATCCGCAGAGGAGGGAAGGAAGAGGAGGAGGAGGAGGAGGAGGAGGAGGAGGAGAAGGAGGAGGCCAGCAGCGCCCCAGAGCGCCAGCTCACCCACAGCCGCGGGCGCACCCCGCGGCAGGCCACGCCAGCCCGCGTCTGGGGCCGCGCGACTCTGGCAGCTCCCGCGGCACCGCCGCGGGCGCACCCCGCGGCAGGCCACGCCAGACCGCGCCTGGAGCCGTGCGGTTCTGGCAGCTCCCGCGGCACCGCCTGCGCTCACCTGGCGGCCGGCACCTCGGGCCCAGGCCCACGCCTCCTCGTCGTCGTTCGGGGGCGGGGTCGCCGCCCAGGAACCCCTGAACGAGCCCCCGCCGCCAGAAGCAGGGGAAGAACTCAGTCCCACGCAAGCTGCTCAGCCTCATGCACCGCGGCCTACTCCAAGCCCGCGGCGTGGCGGCATGCGTCGACAACAGCACTTCGCCATCACCAACTGAAGGCGGCTATCTCCACTGCGCAGCTTCCGCCTGCCTGTCCAGGCGAAGACGCGCCTAAACATCAGGAAGTCGCAACCATGTTCTCAGCCTGTCCCGGCAAAGTGCCGCGCAGCGCCTCTCCAGGTCAGATCCCATGTTGGTTGCTCCAATGCTTGCATGAATTCGCCAACGTCAGGCGGCTCGTCGGCTGGGATATCGAAGGCGCCCACGAACCGCCACAACTCGCCAATTCTGCTCTGCCAAACTATGGGGACGGCCTCCAAGGATGCCTAGCCTGCGATTGAGAGCGCGGCTATGAGCGCCGAGGGTCAGCCCTGGAAATACGCCGCACGAGTGAAGGCCAGAAACGGCGGAGCCCAAGGTGTCCGCCTGGCCACGCGGCTCCGAGAGCAAGTCGCGCCAAGCCTCGAACGAGTCGCCACTGGCCTGCCTGGAGCGTGCGACCGCAAGAGCCGCGGGGCGGTGCACGACAGGGTCGCGGAGACCGACGCAGCGGACTGGAAAGCCCCGATCCAAGGACGTCTCCAAAGTGGTAATAAGGTCCACCGAATCATGGAAACGGTGGTGGTAGCTGAAGTGGACGTTAGAGGTGGAGGCGGCGGCGGTGCAAGTGGCGGTGGCCAGGGAAGCGTGGGGGATAGGCGGGGATGTGTTGGACTCCGCCTGGAGAAACGCGCAGGGCAACCCCACCGAAAAGATGGGTGCCACACCAAAACGTCGCGAGACGGCCTGGGCAGCCGGCCCCGCAACTGCAGACGCAAGCAAATGGAGGGTAGCACTTGGCTCATCCAGAACCTCCATGACGAAGGCGCGGGGGGAGCTCACTATTCACAACGGTCCCGTCCAAATTGGAACATCTAGCACAACGGGCGAACCAGCAGCCCGCTGCAACTGTACAAGATATTACGGTTTGGTACGCGACCCAAGTCAATTGTGAGCAGGACAAGCAACCCAACAGAACACACCTCAGGCCACCACTTCGTGCGAAAGGTAACCCTGCTGAGTCTGACGTGGGGGGCGGGGGAGAATTTGAGTCCACGAAGGTCGGGCCCGCTGAATGCACTGCATACTCACTGGAGCTGGTTGCTTGAGCTCCCGCGGCAGTCTCCTGAAGCTCGACGGCGGCCGCCACACGACGGAGCTCAGATCGGGCATACCCCCCTGGGGGGTGGCTGTCTGAAATGATCTGCGACCAAGAAGAGCGGCGGTCGCTGTCGCACCTCTGCTTCGGGGAGGGGAGGAGGGGGAGCACGCACGCGCGCGACAGGTTGCGAACTCGGCCACCGCTGCTACAGCATCTGCCCTTGGAACAGGTTTAAAAAATGCCGATATCACCATTATACTAAAGAACAACGGGTTTGTGGAGGCGGTGCCTCAGACAGTCTCCTGCCGAGCCTCTGATGGCAGGCGCACCATTGCACCTTCTAGGACTAGGTCTCACGAGGGCTCTCGAGGACCTCCAGCTGACAGCGCAGAGCCAGAACCTCCCTTCCCCGTGCCAATCATGATCGGGCCCCGGAGGTTCGGGGGCAGGAGGAGTCTTGCGCCTCAGCACGTCACTCAAATCAGCGCCGAAGAAAAAACGGCACTCGCAGAAAGAGAGAGAGAGAGAGAAACAAAAAAAGGAGAGATGGAAAGAAGAAACAAACAGGCGGGCGACGATACGAGGTCCTGAAAAGCAGAGGCTCTAGGGCCTGACGAAAGCGTTCAAACCGTCGGAATACATAAGGGTCCCTTGCGTTCGGCGCTGAGCGGCGATGGTGAAAGCAGCAAGTTCAAGCAGCCTGAGGCGTCTGCGGGAAATAAGCCAGCAGGTTACACTGAGAGTCTACCAAAGCCGCCGCCAAAACACCCCTGGGGAGCTCCGTGGAAGCCTCTCAGAACACGAACCATTGACGAAGATATGACCATCTGGCTCCATGGACTGGGACTCGGGATTTCTGTGCAAACCAAACTCCAAGCCACTGGGATGACGTGCCCACCACGCCATACGTATCATTGCCAGAATACGCCGCCATCAAGAGGTGGTTCGGTCTCGACACGACGCTGAGGAGGTCGACGACGTCGACGTTCGTGCTACAAGAAGACACGGCAACGGCACAGTAACGGCGATCGCTCTAATCCCCCCACGTTTCGGTGCATCCTCCCCCAGCCTCCCCCCGCAACCTATAGATGGAGCAGAACAGTTCCATGGCCCGGAAGCCCCCGCAGCTCCTTGCAGAGAGGGGGGCAACACATGAGGCTGATCTGCGTCGGCGCCAGGCCGCTGGCCTCCATGGCAGCGAGCAAACAAGAGACTGCGATGAGAGCATCGTCGGCCAAAAAAAACGAATGCCCCGCGCGGAGCCTATCGGCGGCAATGGCCGCGCGCTGAGAGAACTCGCGACTCACGCCGCGGATCTCCCCGGTAGAAAGGGGGCCCGAGGCTGGGATTGGCTCGAACTTTTCCCGCGGCTCCAGGGGCGCGAACTCTGCACGCCAAAGGGCATCGAAACGCACAAATGCAGACTTGAAAAGAGGGAGGGGGCCCGCAGCGATTTCCCCCATGATCGCTTACGGTGGCGGCGGAGAGCCACGGTGTAAACCCCCTCACAGCTTCGGGGGCCTGCTTAGCTCCTCCTTCAACACGGGCGCAAAAGCCAGCTCCTCCAACCAGCCAGCCCTTTTTAGTTGGGCGAGGGCCCCCGCGGCCGAGAGCGCAGCGTCGAGCTTCTGGGCAAACGCACTGCGCTGGCCAGGCCCATGTGGCAAATAAACGGCAGCGCGCCCCTCCTCGACCCAACGAGAAAATGAGGGGGAGGGGGAGGGGGAGGAGGAGGAGGAGGAGGAGGAGGAGGAGGAGGAGGAGGAGGAGGAGGAGGAGGAGGAGGAGGAGGAAGCGCGCACTCAGCTGAAGGCTCATCGAGAAAATGTAGGGGGGCAAGGATGGCGGAACGGTGCGCTTCAGCGCGAGCGTCGCCAGAGTCACTGCACATGAGATTCTGGCGGAACCTGAGCACCATCCACTTCAGTGCGCGCAACAGCTGAGAAGGCTGGCGGGGAGCCGACGGCCCTGATCATGGAAGACCAACGCGGCCGAGTGGCCTCCCCCCTTGACCCCAAGCAAGAGAGGGAAGACCCAGCGGCGGCAATAACTCCCTGCTCGGCCAAATTCGCCCAGCCTCCGTCGACAACTGTTGAGGTTAGCTTGCACTCCTCGAGCGCTCCCGGACTCAAGGCTAGCTTCGAGCTTCTCGCGCATCCCCGGAACCCCAGCCTAGTTGGGAGGCCTCGTTACAGGACCCACGACGGGGTCCTTCCCAAGGGGAGGTGGACGCTGAAACTCAAGGCCGAAACGCCTCGCAGGCTAGGGAGGGCATGTCAATCTAACAGGAGAGTAAGGAGCGGTGCAAGCGCCAGTAGCAACTTTGACTAATTCGATTCCCTGAGCAAGGCCTTGCGATACAAAACAACCCAATCTTCCAAACTCCAGTTGTCGAGCACGTGCCAACTGCGCCCGAGTCCTGAATAACAGTGCCTCTGAGGCTCTCAGTCAGCGTTGTTTCCGACAATCTTCTGCGAGAATGAACGGTCCAGCCCGCGGGTCGACGGCGGCAGCTGCATGGGCAAGCAAAAATAAACTGCTGTCCGCTCGTCCGCGCGCGTAACGCAAAGATGCTGGTGAGGCAAAAACCGAGACACCTCCTGGGACGTTCACAACGCCACTTGCGACACAAGCGGGGGCAAGGACGCGGCCCCCAGGAGGCGCTCCGAGTAATAGAGAATTCCTAGCCAGGATTCACACACACACACACACACACACACAAACACCGAGGCGCCGCCAGAGGGGGCACGGATGGCTGGGGCCAGGAAAGCTTTCCACCCGCGGGCCCGAGACCAAGACAAAGCTCTTACACACGTAACACGTTAGCAAATGCATGAGGGAGCCAGCCATTGAACAAGTG